TTCAAGTTGTTATTTCATACGTCATTATTCTTCCTCTCAAAATCAGCTTGCATCCCAAGACCGGGAACCACTTGAAATCATTTTAGCTCCCTCCCACTGCTCCATCACTTGACCCAGTCGTCCTGTAACTCGTTGGCCCTAGCTGAAACTTCGCTTTGTCTATGCTTGTGTAGCGCGAATCAGTCACTGATAAACAAGAAGTGCCCATTTTCATGTCCAGTGCGTTCGCATCCTACCCTGAAATGCTCGGTGCTTGCGCACTCTGCCGTTCTAACAACGCTGGAAATTTAAATGTGATGCGTAGTGGACTTTTGTAAAAACCGTCTCTCCAAAGAACCTGCAATTCAGCTCCTCCTGAGGCCTCCATAAAATTGAAATTTTGCGGATATGTTCTATACCAGCATGGAGGAGCACAAACTTACAACCAACTTTTCTGATCTTTGTAATTCTTGACCCACAAAATCAGGGCCAATGCTTGTGAAGAAAGAAAAAAAATTCATAAATTGGAAATTTGCAGTCTGACTTACCAAATCATAAGCAAAAAAGCAGACTTCGAATTAGCTTTCAAAATTAAACTATTAGTTCAGGACTAGATTCAGAATAATATTACGAATTGACACTGAAGAGAGTCGTAAGCCGGGAGTTTTATTGTTTTAGCTTATCTTTTACTGTAAAGTGCATAACCTGATATCACTTTTCAAGCTTAACAATATGCAGAGACTGGAAATATAACTCCAAAAAAGCAACTCGTGCATCTCATCTTTTTGGCACTTTTCATGCAACTATTTGGTCAAAAATCCCTGCTGCAGCCGCTGAGCATTTTGGTGCATTCATCCATTTTTCGCGTCTCGTAGCTATGTGTAATTCGCACGCCGCTATTTGCATTTATACATTCATTTTATACCTGAACAAAACACAATGTGGTTTTTAAAAAGCTTGCATTAGTGCATTTTAGCATTATCTTTGCGTTCATTACGGAAGAACAACGGTGTGTGGGTGTGTGTGTGT